ATCCCGTGTGACTCCTGGCCTGGCATCCCGGCATACGACTGGTCTGTTTCGGAGCCTCACTTGGATACTGGTTGGTCATTGGTTGTTACTTGGATAAACTTGGTTGGTCACTTCAGTCAGCAGTTTTTGAGTACGTTGCAGGATTTGGTGACCACTTTTGAGTTGAGTTTGGTGAACCGACCTTTGATTTGTTTATCAAAGACTTGAAAGCTGTTGCTGTTTGACAGGTCGCCATCGTTCCTTTGTGCTTTTTCTAAAGAAACCCGGGTCCAAAAATGTTCCAAAACTGTGCCAGGAGGATCTCTCTGGCTGATTCCCAAGAGGTTGCCAAAGGCAGGGGGATGGGCGGTCTGATCAAGTGGCCAGCGCAACAAACTTTTCACATTTCTTTTCAGGCTTGCGCCCCATTGTTTGTGACGCTGTGAGGGCTCAGCCTACATGGGGAACTTTCAAAAACCTTTCAGAACCAAGCAACACCAGACACGCTTATATTACTTTCAGCCATGTTCAACTGCATCAGAACCAAACAATATCGTTTTGAACCGCAATGATCCTTGTAATTTCAGCAAGAAGTTAGACTCAGTCCAAACATGCACATAAGTGTGCCAAAAAGACTTGCTGAGCTTGGCATCGCAATGTGTTGAGCGAATGGGTTCCTCCAGCAAGAGAAGAAAGGTGCGTAGCGACACCCGACGCAGCAAATATTTGGAGGCAGAGATTCCATGTTTGGAGGACGCTGATAAACGGCGCAAAGCACTTCAACAAATCTATGAGAACCAACGCAGCCTAGATGTGATTATATAACGCCCTATTTTTCCTTTGCTGGGATAGTCTGTTAATTTTTCCATCAACAACAGACTTTGTTGAGTGGCAGTGTATCCCCCCTACACACACAAGCGCACGGACACACAACCTAGGTAAGGGAAAGCGTGGAAAGAAGCATACTATGTCCCAGGCAACCCAAACGACTCCAACGATGCAGTTGTGTGATGTTGCTGTGCAAGTGGAAGCTAGTCCTGCCATCCATCGCTCAGTTCAAACCGTTGCAGTGCAATCTGATGCACAGAGTGTTCAGACTTCTATGGGGAGGGGAGCGAAGTTTGACAACATCGAGACTTGCCACCTGTGCTTCAAAGTTCACGAGAAGGATTGTCATGACAACTACATTTTGAGTAACTTGAATATCAGCCAGTTAAAGGAGCAATACTTTTTGGATTTGTTTGGCCCCCCTCCTGGATATAACATGTATTTTTTATGAAGTCATACTTCACCAACTATCGTGTTCAAATCTGAGCATGTCCGAGCTGAGGCAATGAAAACCGAGCACTGAAACAACAGTGTCGTTTCTTGAAGGCAGAGGTGGAAAGTCTCAAAATACAATTGGGCAAACGCTCATTCTTTAATGAGCGCAGGGGTTAAAAAGTATGTGTGAGGCGTTGTGAGGCTGAATTACAATCCGTTCTTGCATTGATTCGTGCATTGATTCGTTGATTGTAACACCTTGTGGCACTCACACGTGGCCAGGTGTCTGACTGATGTGACCTATATATGGACTGCGATTGCACTTACAGCTGAAAAAAACGGCGGCCCGCGCAAAGTGTACGCGCAAAGTGTGGGACCCAAATAGAAAGTGATAGGACCCAAATGCAAGGAAACGGCCTTCATTGCAAACGACCGCTGCAGTCATTCACCTGGGCGTTCTTCTTGAAGAAGTCTGCCTGCTCTTCCGGCGAGCACTCCATGAACTCTGGAGATGGCCAAGGCTCTGGTTCCTTCGCAGCATGGTGTCCAAACATTTGCACTGCTTGCAGTGCCAAGCTTGACCATTCTTGTGAATGGCATCATCAGTCGGCACTGATGCCTTGCAAAGACGGCATGTGACATGATCACGCTGCGCAGTGTCTGCCATGGAAACCTTCAAGCCTTCAAAGCACAGTGCACAGTCACTTGAGGCAAAATTATCTTTCCGAAAAACACATGGTGAGTCGACATTTTGTATATACAGGATATACAGAACTTGTTGCTCTCATGAGCGGAACACACCGCTGAAAGATAATGGTGGATGAGATTTCTAGAAAAATGTCGGAATGTGTCGGAATGTGGCGGGATGTGGCGGGATGTGGCGGGATGTGGCGGGATGTGGCGGG